GGCCCCTTTTTGACCATTTCTGGCGTCGATCGAAGTGAGATACCGCCCGATAGATCATGAAGAATTCTTAAATGAATCTTGATTGTAATACATTCCGAAGCAACAAATACATTTATCAGAGATATATACAGATTCTGTTCAGGTGGAGGTGAAGACACCGGGAGCGGCAGCCGAAATGTAACGAATATGCATAATAACGATGCAGAATGCAGAGATGTTAATCCACTTTGTCAAAACATTAGACATATTTGCGTGAGAGTTCCAGAAATGGCCGCAAGAGAATGCAGAAAAACGTGTGGATATTGCGGAGGTGAGTGATTGAGTTTTACATTCAGGTGGACTGTATTTAAGCTGAGGAGTTACTTCAGTTGTGATTTAGCGGAAGACAATTTGAACATACGCTCATAAACATTTTCACGCATTGACCAGGATGAAAATTTCTGCAAAAATTTCTACGAGAAATTCATCAATCAATATATTTTATGAGCATTCACGGTTGATCGTCGGTAACCATTCAACGAATACTAAGCTCTTCGTTGTGCAGAAAAGGAAATTTCGATCGAATGTTCTGGAGATCAATTGAGAGTCTGATACTCTGATCAAAGTAAATGTGCGTCGAATAGAATGACTGCATTGATAACATTCACAATTGTCGTTCAATAATCACCATAAGTTCTCCAACAATTTATCAACAGCCAAAAACGATACTGGATCAAATTATTCATCTATTTTACCGATTCAGTCACACCTGATCAATTTGATCGAGTAAACAGTACTGATGAACAGTCAACGCAACCAAATGATGACCGTCACTTCACTTCATCGCATTCGAGTGAAAATATTAATGAAGCATACATATTTTCAGGTGCTCGCAACAACTTGGAAACAGTCACTTCATCGAATTCATCATTTGAAGACGAAGAAGGCGAAGTGATGGACCGTAACCAAACATCCACCTCCGAATCAATTGATGATCGCTTGCATAACACTCCGACCGAAGCAACCAAAACCGAGCAAAAAGAAAGACGAAAAAGAAAGCGAACCGAAGCTCCCAGAAAAAGAGGAAGAAAAGGACGATGTAAGTTAAAATGGATGAAATTTAAATGAAATTGAGATCTATTTTTAGCTTTTCTCACTTCAGTAACTTTCAAATGATTTTAAATTGTTCAACGCGTGATAAAGCAGACAAAGTAAAGAGCGCTGACTTAATATCAGTTAACGATCCACCTATTCGAGCGATAAATGATAGCCTGATCGGAACCATCAAATTGCATTCGAGTGAAAATATTAACGACGGTCTAGCGTCTCACGACTATACTACCATATCCAGCAGTGAATTGCATCTTTCCTGTTGCGAACGGCGAAACTTCGGCAAATTACGCGGTCACATAGTAGTACACTCTTATGACAAGATCGAGCCCACCGGAATGAATAGTTTTTATTCGCGTGGCTACTTGAGATTCGAGCGGGATAACTCAATTTCACCTCGGTAACCTATTTGCAAATTGCGCTAAAATGAATGAGCGCCACTTGATTAAGAGGTGAATTTGAAAGCAACTTTCTATTAAGTGGTCCCTTTCTGACCGCTTTTGGAGACGATCGAAGTGAGATAACGTTCGATAGAATTCATGAAGCATTCTTCAATGAATTTATTCCTTGATTGCAGTACATCCTAAAACAACAAGCTCACCACAACAAATATTGAAGGATCCATGGATTAGCACCTATTTAGTTTGTTCCTCACGCAGATATACAAATTATGTTCAGATGAAGGCGGAACGGATGGTAACGGCAGCGGAAATGAAGG